GACGTCGAGGAGGAGGAGGAGGAGGAGGAGGACGTCGAGGAGGAGGAAATCGAGGAGGAGGAGGAGGCGTAGACGAGTACGGTGATGCGCGCCCACGGCGAGCGAGGAGGACGTCGAGGAGGAGGAGGAGGACGTCGAGGAGGAGGAGGAGGAGGAAATCGAGAAGGAGGAGGAGGAGGAGGAGGAGGAGGAGGCGTAGACGACAACGGTGATGCGCGCCCACAGCGCAGCCGCGGCTGGGATGCGGCGCCGCCGACGGATCGCCACGGCAGCCATGGGTGCAGCGCCGTGGTCGCTTGACCACCCCTCGCTTGCCGCTTCCGCGCCTCGTCTGCCCGCTTGTCCTCCTCCTTCTCCTCCTCCTCCTCCTCCTCCCCTTCCTTCCATTCCTCCTCCTGTCGGCTACACGCAAGGGTGACCCTGGGTAAGAGTGTCTTTGGGTGCTCGGCCTTCTGGGGGCCGCGGGGGGACCCAACATAAGCGCGCACGACGCCACTGCCGCCTCGCGTTCGGCGATCGGGGGACCCCAACAGACCCGCACCAAAGATCACTCTGTCGAAGGGTCACTCTTACGTGTAGTCGATCCTGTTACGTTGCGCAGACGCTGGCTGACGAGCCTCCGCGTCTACCCTCTTCTGCTGCTCAGGGGCCCTGAAGAAACCAAAAGAACCGATAACGCTACTCCCCAGACCTTTTCCCGGGTGCGTTCTCTCAGGATTTCGAGGCGAATCCAGCGGTGGCGACGAGGGCCTCCCCCCAAAGACGAGAGCGACGGCCGGGTAGCGGTATCGGTAATCAAGTGTTCCTCCTCAACCTCCTCTAGCCTCCTCTAACCTCCTCCTCCTCCTCATTCCTCCTCCTCCTCCTCCTCCTCCTCCTCCTTCTCTGACCTCCTCCTCTGGCCTCCTCTTCCAACGATCCTGTAGGGCTCTCCAAGGACGGAGGGCGGCGTTGGGCCCCCCATGAGGGCGCGCGGCGTTCCAAGACGGGGGCACCCCGCACAGCAGCGGAAGCGAATGCCAACGCCTGCAGGGCCCAACTAGAAGGGGGGGGGTCTGCACGGGGGGGAGGAGGAGGAGGAGGAGGAGGAGGAGGAGGAGGAGGAGGAGGAGGAGGAGGAGGAGGAGGAGGAGGAGGAGGAGGAGGAGGAGGAGGAGGAGGAGGAGGAGGACGAGAACAGGGAGGAGGAGGAGGAGGAGGAGAAGGAAGAGGAGTGGGCCCGACCACAAGAGACCTTCCACAAGAAACCCAGCCCCGAGACCCCAGGACGTCCCTTGATGTTTGGTGTGGCAGCGCCACGCCTTCCATCGCAACACCATCGAAACGCATGAATTCCAGGGCACACTGGAGGCAAGCAGTGTGTTTCTTGGAATGGGTCTCCACTGTATCTGCTGTGGCAAGGCGTTGGAGCCTCCTATGCCAGCGTGCTGGCTCATGCGAATCGACGCCAATCCGTGCTACATCGACCCTAATCGGTCCTCAATCGATACCAATCGACGCTAAATCGGCGCTATCTCATCGACTATCAGACGCTAGTCGACGACAATGCCCTCTACCGACGGAATTGTGAGGATACATAAAGTTCCAACGATTTGCTACAGAAGGAAGATGTATTGCGGCATGGTTGAAATACCTCGTGTTCAATGCCAGTCCTTTTCCTCCTCCTCCCCCTCCACCTCCTCCATTGTCCCTTCGCCCCTACCTCTTTCCCCTCCCGCCTCCTCCCCTCTCCCTGCCCCAGCGGTCCAGGACCTCAGGCGACCTCGAAAGACGCTGACGGCCACGTCTCTGAGTCTGCGCCTTCTGGAGGCCCGTTTTGATCTCGTGAGGGCCTGCACCGTAAATCAAATGGCCCGCGGAGTGGAGCCAGCAAGATGGGTGATGCCGAAATGCGGCAGCCCGCGTGGCGACGAAGTCAGAACGTCGGAGGTATGGAAAACAAGCACACATACACAGACACACACGCACACACACGCGCGCGCGAGGACACACACACACACACGCACGCACGCACGCACGCACGCACGCACGCACGCACGCACGCACGCACGCACACACACACACACACACACACACACACACACACACTTATGCGCACACATACACACACAAACATTCGCACATCCACACGCACACGCCCCCCAGCCAAAGAGAAGGAGACAGAGAAAGAATGATGGCTGGTTCACGTCGCGATGTCGCGGGCGTTGGTGTCTGACGCCGCGTGGGCCGTTCATGCCTTGAATGTTTGCAGCTCCTGACCGCGCAGATCGCCCGACACCGGCCGATTCTAAGCGACGTTTGACCTTGAACGCCCGCGCTGGGGTCGCCGCAGCGTCAACGCGACGAAAGCTTCCCGCAACACCAAGCTCTCGCCGCCAGTGGTGTCTGCTCTCTGGCCCGGCCTGGCTGCTCTCTGGGGCTCCCCGGCCCCCCGGGGCGGCCAAGCGACCCCAGGGGTGTACTGGCGCGCTTGGGGTCAAAGCCGCTCGCGACAGTCTGGCTGTGCCGCGCCCTCGGAAGGGCCTGGGCCAAAATGGCTGTGGAGCAGAGCGAATCGGGAGGACGGGCGGAGGACCAGCAACAGCAAGTGCGTGTCAGCATCAGCCGCAGGAGTCGATGCAGCGATGACGACGGCGCCGACGAGCAAGAGCGGTCCTGCCGCCAGCAGCTGCTGCGAGGGCATCGGGAGCGGCAGCAGCAGCAAAGGCATGCTGAACACCAGGAGCAACGCTTCTGCAAAACAAAGCATCCACATCCGGATGTCTGCGTCGCCGACCCTGGGGCGCGCCTCGCGCTCCAAGACGTCTGCGCAGACGTTCGGAAGTCTGGGTTTATGCAGTGTTTGTGCGCGGCATCAGCAGGGCAAGGAAGAAGCGGGGGGGCACAGCTCGGGCTGCGAACAAGATGCAGGACGCGTTGGTGACACTCCTGCTTGTGGCGGCCAGCCAAGCCGCGCGGGCAGGACACGTTTCGCTTAACAGGCTCAGCAGCAACGAAGAGCGGGCGTCAATGGAAGTGGCACGTTCTGGGGACCAGACAATGTAAGGTATCAAACATTGCTGGGGACCCTGCAGACTTGTGGCGTAATCAGTGTTGGTGACCTAATCTTTTCTGCTGCGGTCCCCCAAAAATGCTCGGGTAGGCTACGATCTGCTGCATGTGCTCTCCAGGGCCAGGGGGGCGGAGGAGGCCAGCTCGCCTTGGGCGGGGCAGTGCGCTCCCACGCCGTCGCCGAGGCAGCAGCGCCGAAGCCGACACTGCGGCGGCGGCGGCAATCGTGGCCGCGGCGGCGACGACCACAGCGGTGGCGGCTGCAACGACGACGACGACGGCGGCTGCGCGTGGCGGCGACGACGGCGGCGGCGACGGCGGCGGTGGCGCGCGGCGCGGCGCGCCGCGCGCCTTGGAGCCCGGGGCGCGCACGGCTGGGGCGGGGGGCTTCGCCGCCTCGGCGACGGCTGCGGCCAGCCTGTGGCGCCGGGGCCACGCGCGGGCCGACGGGGCGCGGCCGCCCCGCTGCACCGCTGCAGCCAGAGGTTGGGAGAGGCAGCTCCTGAGCGGCCCTTCGGGAGGTGAGCCCAGCTAGTTGGTAGGGCCGCATCGGAGGCCTCCGAGCCGAAGCGAGCCGGATGTGGCCCAGGAGGAGGAGGAGGAGGAGGCGGAGGAGGAGGCGGAGGAGGAGGAGGAGGAGGGAGGGAGGGATGGAGGGAGGGAGGGAGGGAGGGAGGGAGGGAGCAAGAGGCTTCCCACATCCCTGCCTCTTCCCCTCCTTTCCCCCCTCCGGAGGCCCCTGCTCGTTGCCGGTCGTTGCCCTCTGGCGCCGGACTCTGCCGGACTAGGCCGGTTTTCGGCCGCGGATCGACTAGCGCCGATTCGGACTTACACCTCTCCTGGGAGCTGCATCCCAAGAGGTCCGCCCCGCGCCCCTCTGCAACAGTTGTGCGCGAGGGGAGTTCCTCAGTCGGGCAGCGCTGGGGCGTCGAACCTGCCCAAACCCGCCGAAACCTTCGGCGCGTGCCCTCCGACTCCCCGTCCTCCTCCTCCTCCTCCTCCGCCTCCTCCTCCCTCGTCCTCCTGCTCCTCCTCCTCCTCCTCCTCTACCTTCCCCTCACCTCCTGCTCCTTCTCTTCCTCGTCTCCCTGCCCACCACGGCGACAATGACGACGACAAAGATGGCGACGACGACGACGGCGACGGCGACGGTGAACATCGATACAGTGCCCGAAGCATCCTCTCGCTGCGCGGTGGCTGCAGACCGTCCCCGCGCAGGCTTGTCCCCCTCAGCGCGGCGTGACCTCCTCCGCGGGCGACAGTCGCAAACGACCCCAACCTGGCGAGTGGGGGGCACGTCTGGTGTATCATGTCCTGGTCTGCTCTGGTGCATGTTGTGTCGGTAGATCATGCTATGTTGCATATGTCATGTTCTGTTATGCCATGTTATGTTCGGTCATGATTTGTCCTGCTATGCTATGGTAGGCGCTGTTTTGTTTAGTTCAGTCATGGTCATGGTCGTCGAAGGTGCGGGTAGCAGGAAACTCTGGGTATACTAGGTGGACACGGGGATCTGGTGACCGCGGTATGCAGGGTGGGCCGGTCCGGAGGTGTGTTCTTTAAATTAACCGACTCCAATATGTAGGGTGGGAAAAACTGGCATTTACAGGACGAGCAGGGCTTCCCAAAGACGTAACGTAACGGTGACACCGCGGCCTGTGGAACATATGCAGCAAATGAGCGCCTCGCTGTCACGCCACGGAGCGTGCTCCCGCTGCAGGAAGGCGACACCACATGTTGCGACGGGAACTTTAGGACAACCATTCTCGCCGACCGCTGAACCTCCCAAATCTCGCCCAGAGTCGCCCAGAGGCTCCGCTGGGCCCGCCTCTAGAATCTAGAGACCTCCTAGATGGGGTCAGAGTAGATGGGGTCGGAAGATCGCGCCGCATCGGAGATGCACCGGCGATGCACCGGCAAGGTCGGCGATGCACCGGCGACGTCGGCGTGGAGCCAGAATCGAACCGATGAGTCGCAGCGGCGATCGGCGCGTGCCGGATCGGCGGAGACGTCGGCAGCCAAATCGGGAGAGGTCGGATCGGCGGACATCGGCAGGCTGAGGAGGGCCATCAGCGGACATCGGCAGGCTGAGGAGGGCCTCCATTGAGAGACCCAGGCCCGAATTGGAGTCCGAGAACGAATCGGAATGGGAATCGAAATCGAAATCGAGATCGAACCGAATCGACTGGGAGGAGTCGGAAGGAGCCGCCGCCCTGCCACGACACGACCGCCACCGGCGCCGCGACCACAACCGCCACCAGCACGACAACCACCGCCGCCACCACCAACACCACGACGACGACCCTAATCACGACAACCGCCACGACCGCCAGCACCAGGACCATACGACCAGCGCCGGCACGACAGGCACCGCGGATACCGCCAGCTGGCACCGCGACCACGACCACCGCACGACAACGCCGCGACCACGACCACCACCACCACCACCGACCCGACCGCTCCCCCCCCGGCCGCACCTCTCCTTTCCTCTCCCCGCCCCTGCCTGGCCGCCCCTGCTGCCGCGCGCGCCTTGCGCCTCCCCCCTTCCCCTCATCCTCCTCCTCCTCCTCGCCTCCCCCTCCTTCTCCTCCCAGTGAGTCCTGAATTGATCATTCATGCGGGCCCCTCGCCGAAGGCGGCGGTGTCACTAGCGCGAGGGTGCGGTCGGATGGACCATTCCGGCCGCCCCAGGGGTCCCGTTCGCGGGTGCCGGTCCCTTCTGGGAGCCCCTGGGGCCGTGGCGGGAAGAGGGGGAGGAGGAGGAGGGGGAGGAGGAGAAGGAGGAGGAGGAGGAGGAGGAGGAAGAGTAGGAAGGAGGAGGAGGAGGAGGAGGAGGAGGAGGAGGAGGAGGAGGAGGAGGAGGGAGGAGGAGAAGGAGAGGGAGGAGGAGGAAGAGTAGGAGGAGGAGGAGAGGAGGAGGAGGAGGAGGAGGAGGAGGAGGAGGAGGAGGAGGAGGAGGAGAAGGAAGGAGGAGGAGGAGGAGGAGGAGGAGGAGGAGGAGGAGGAGGAGGAGGAGGAAGGAGGAGGAGGAGGACGAGGACGAGGAGGAGGAGGAGGAGGAGGAGGACGAGGAGGGGGAGGAGAAGCAGGAGGAAGAGGGGGAGGAGGAGGGGGAGGAGAAGGAGCAGGAGGAGAAGGACGAGGAGGTTGAGGAGGAGGAGGAGGAGGAGGGGGAGAAGGGCAAGCTAGGCGCGCTCGCGTCATATCTGGCGCTCTACCCCTCCCTCCCATCCCTTACCATGGCGTAGATATCCTAGTCGCAAAATCGGATGTCGCAGCATGGCGTAGCATTACATGGCATAGCATGGTGTCGAGGACCACCGCGTAGCATGAAATGGCATGGCGTGGCGACGCCCCAAAGTGAGTTGGGGGGGGCTTCCGCGGCCCAAACAATCAACGAATCGACACCGAATGTGTAATCACGTCCAGATTTTCTAAATTTGGGGGCCTATTTGGAAGGGCCGAAAACATGCCGGGTCATGGTGATCGAAAGAATGACGCCAACGCTGCAGCGGGACCACGATTCGGAACGAGCGGAAGCGCGGAAATGAGGTCAGCGCTGCAGCGGGAGCACGATTCGGAACGAGCGGTAACCCGATAATGAGGCCAGCGCTTCAGCGAGAGCAGCATTGATAAACAAAACGGACACACACACACAACAAAAAAAGCGAAGCGCGGAAATGAGGACGCGTAGCCTGACATGGCATGGTGTGGCGACGCCCCAACGTAAGGGGGGGCTTCCGCGGCCCAAACAATCAACGAATCGAAATCGAATGTGTAATCACTTCCGATGGTTTTTTCGGGGGTCCAATTTGTAGATTTTGGGGCCTATTTGGAAGGACCGAAAACCATGCCGGGACATGGCGCTCGAAATAATGACGCCAACGCTGCAGCGGCAGCACGATTCGGAACGAGCGGAAGCGCGAAAATGAGGCCAGCGCTGCAGCGGGAGCACGACTCGGAACGATCGGTAGCCCGAAAATGAGGCCAGCGCTTCTGAGAGAGCAGACTTTATAATTTGCTCATACAACTCATGATAATAAAAACAAGACAGAAAACACAAAGGAACGAACGAAAACCCAACTCCTGGGAATCCTGTGTGTAAAGAGCCTGTGCGCGGAGGGTGGCCAGACCTTCCCTGGACGCCACCAGGGGAGAGAGGCGAGAGTGGTATTCCTGTAGAGGAGGAGGGAGGGAGGGGGAGGAGGGGGCCGGGGAAGGAGGGGGAGCAGGACTCCCCCTCTGCCGGTGCGGGCGGGCTGCCTTCCCGGAGCCTGCTCGGCGCCCTCCGCCGCGGCCGCGTCGCCGCTGGGCGCCTGGCGCGCGGGGTCGCGGGGAAGGAGGGCGGGGAGGCGGGCCCAGGCCTCGCTGCAGCTTGCTTCCAGGCGCTGCCACCGGCCTCCTGGCGCTGCGCGCCGGCCGCCAACAGCGACTCACCTACGCCGATTGAGCGATGTGGCACGGCGTCCGCGCCCGACGGCGATGTGCCGTCGCCCGCGCGATTGCGGAGACCTGCGCCCTCTGCGACATCTGCGGCGCGACGCCGACCGGCCCGAACTGCAGCGAGGCGGCGGCCCGAACACACAGCGCTAAGAGGACGGCCCGCTCGGGTGGGCACTGCAACTTCTGGGAGGCCTTCGCCCGAACGATCAAGGGCCATGGGGCCCGGGTAGGGGTAAGACGAAGCCAGGACGAGGATATAGCTCCGGATGAGGATCAATCAGGAATCTCTGAGATCCGGCGGCTGTGGAGGGCGTCTCGGCCGCCGCGGCCTTTTCAGAGCGTTCTGGAACGCTCGGAGAGCGTTCCGGAACGCTCTGGAACGGATTTATCCTCGTCCTAGCGCCGTCTGTAAGGGGCCGCTTGGCTGGGTCAGGCCGAATGAAGCCCAGGAGCAAGGCAGAGGAAGAGGGATCCAGCGGGACCCATGCGAACCCCGCGGGTTGATCTCGAAGGAGCTAGACATGATTCGGCAAGCTTTCGACCAGGGATGTACCAGCGCCGATTCTGCCTCTTCCTGCCATCGCTCGGACGTCCATTCGCTATGTTTTGTTCGTTTGCGTGCGTGGTTGTTCGCAGGATGATCCAGGATGCTCCTTCATAATCTCCGCCGAGAAGAAGTGCACACGCCTGAGCGATACCAAGTCTTCCACCTCCCAGGAGTTGCATCCCAACGTCGGGAGAGGCTGTCTCTGGCCGGGGGGCCCTCGGCGCCCCTCCTGGCCGCGCGGCGCCACAAACACTACCTGCACGGACGCAGCCACGCCGCCTCGTGGCGTTCCCTGTTGGCTGCGCTGCTGCGGCTTGCCGGGAAGCCCGCTGCTGTGTTGCATGGATGGGCCCTGCCTTCGCATGCGCTGCGCTGCATTCTTTTACTGCGCGTTGCACTCGGGCTTCGATCTCATACGCTTCAGCTTGCTTGAGAAGGCGCTGCCATGCGTTACGAATGCTCCGCGGCGCACTGGGTAGCAACGCGTGGCAGTTTGCACGCAACTCCGCTACATACACGCAAGCCACTACAACGCAAGGCGACGGAATGCAATTCATAGGTTTGCAAATCATCGCCCCGAGCCAAACATGTTAGCCAGGGTGGACCCCAAAGAATGCATGATAGCACGGTGGATCTGGAAGATACGCAGTGTAAGCTATACGGTGAAAATTCCGTCGTGCTAGCTATTTGGCGTGCGACCTGGAGGTGTAGGCTATGCACTGCAGGCTTCGTGGGGCAAGCTGCGTCGTTGAAGCTGGGCGGTATGAACTGGACACGGAAGCTGCGTGGGGTGTGAGCAGTGTGATGCAAACTGCTTGTGGGCAAGCTTGGTGGCGCAAGCCGTGGCCAAAGGTGTGTGGTGATACAGTCGGACTTGATTGGAGAGGACACGCGGGAGGACACAAGACCCTTCCGAAGGCCACATCGCCATCGGAGCGTAAGAAGGCACATCGCCGCGAGGCACCGGACACAAGGGTACCCTTGAGCTGGCAGGGTCGACCTACTGCTCTGGGCCGACCGTAGCCGACGCCGTGCAAACTCAGAACGCGGGGCGCCCGCCGGGCGCCCACGACGCGGCACGGGTGGCAGCGTGGCGCCACCGGGGGACCGCCACCCCGGCGAGCGGTGCGCCCGCGAGGCGCCCGCGAGACGGCACGGGCGGCAACGCGGCGCCTCGTCGGCGTGCCCCCCCAAGCGCGGGGCGCCCACGAGGCGCCCCACGAGGCGGCACGGGGCGCCCACGAGGCGGCACGGCCGGCCACGTGGCGAGGAGCCGGAAAACCCACGCAGCTCCTTCGCAGAAGTGCGAACCCCTACTGAGCGCGAGCACTGTCTGGGGGAATCTGTGTCTGGCGTCCCAGCGGCGACACCATGGCACCAGAATGCAGACATTACCACCCGTGCTGGACCTGCCGGGGAGGGCTGCACGCAGCAGGAATACCCAGCACACTTTATGGAGGAAGCACTGGTCATGAATCCAGGGGCTAATTCGAGAAAGCACGGACAAGAGGCGGGCGCCACACCACAAGCACGTCCTGGGGCGAAGCCAGGGGACGGCTCGGCAAGACGACCCTCAGCCTCTCTGGGGGGATGTCGGCAAGGCCTGCTCCGAACAAGCCAGTGTCGGCAGGAGCAATAATATACTTGGCGACGCCCCTCGTGAACTGCTGCTCCTGGCATTGGTCGCGCCCCCAGCGCCGAGGTGGCGATTTGCTCGGCCCGCCGGCTGGCGCTGGCGTGCCCCCTCCTCGGGCTGCCGCGGCATCGCCGTCTGGCTGGACCTCTGCGCTTGGCGCCGCGCCCGTGGGCATTCGCATGCGCACTCGCACACTCGTCAGGACATGGTCCCTGCCTCCTTGGGCCGGAGCGTGGAGGTCGTGACCTCTCTGTGCGTACACGTGCTGGGGGAAGCAAAGGCCAGACAGCACTAGCGTGCTTCCCTGCTGGAGTTGGTGCCGTCGCCGGTGTCGGTTGGCGTCGTGTTGGCAGGTGTCTTGATCGTCTTGTTCGGGTGCTGGGCTCCCGTCGATGAGATGAAGTCGGACTCCGTGCTCATCCAGGTGCGCCCGTGGGCAGGATGATCCCAAATCGAGCGGGGAAGTCGAAGAGGCAATCGGAACGATTCGAATCGTCAGGAATCGGCAAGCATATCTGAAATCATCGAAATCGACGTCGCGCGGGCGCAATCGAGGCCGACGCCAAACAATGGAAAACCAAAGTCGGAATCCGGAGCCACATCATCGAACAAAACTTCCCAGCATCGGATCCGTTCGAATGGCCAGATCCGACACGGTTCCTGGTGGGCCGCGTCAGGCATCCCCTCTGGCGGCCCCGCCCGGGGCCCTGCTGGCGGCGAACGGGATCGAGCCCTGACTTCCCACACCATAGTGGCTGGCGCCACAGGAGCGGGCGGCGGGTTCTCGCGCTGCCACGGGGGCCGCGGAACAGGCCATTAGCAGGACAAGGGCGAGGGCTGATCGTTGTGACGAGGCAGAGGGCCTCACCAGCATGCTCCCCCCAGCCGCGGAAGACGCGAGCTGCTCCCTCCAGCCCCGCGCGTGAGGATCTCTCAAACGAACGCCATCCAGGCGCGAGAGCTCCAGGGAGACGGGATGCCCGGCAGGGCTCTCCAGGAGGGCCGGGCGCTCGCTCTTTCCGCGGGGCGTGCGGCGTGCGGCTCAAGGGCCCGAAGCGGCAGCGGTCGAGAGAAGTGAAAGGCACAGGGAGGGAGAGACGGGGCGAGAAGAGGGACGACCAGAAGCGGGACGAAGACGGACGACTAGAAGAGGGGCGACTAGAAGAGGGACGACCAGAAGAGGCACGGGGAGAAGAGGGGCGAGAGGAGGGAGGACTGGAAGAGGGGCGAGAAGAGGAGGCTGGACACGACGACCATGGACGAGGGACGACGAAGCCGCTCCACAGCGCGGGCGCCGAGCCGGGGCAGGGCAGGAGCGCTGCTCCCCGGGCGCGAGCACCCGGCAGAGGGGGTGCGTGGAGCCTTGGCCACGGCCCGCCGCCACGTGGCCGAGCCGAGGGCTGCACTGATGGGCCCGTTCTCCACCACCGCTGCCAGATGCAGGAGAGGGAGGAGGAGGAGGAGGAGGAGGAGGAGGAGGAGGAGGAGGAGGAGGAGGAGGAGGAGGAGGAGGAGGAGGAGGAGGAGGAGCTCCTCATCCTCCCTTCCCTCCCATCCTACACAACTATGGTAGCGGTGGTGGAAAATTTGCCCATCATGCATGCGTCCGACGGGCGAGGACGAGGACACAGAGTTACACGAGGTGTATCTGTGCCGGCGACCCTGAAGGAACACTGTTTAAGCGACCCCTGCCCCCATGGGCATGGTCCTGGTCCCACTAGCCCATTTCCCCCCTAGATGGGGATACAGAGTGACATTGTGTTAGGAGGCAACTGCTGGGAGGTCTTCGTCGGAAGGATTAAGGAGGATTAAGCTCCAAAGCGGGGCTGTCACGCCAGATTGGGCCGCGGATTAGGCGGGATTCAGCCGGATTAAGCGTGATGAAGCCAGATTCAGCGGGATTGAGCCGGAGGGAACAGGATCCCGGACCAGGGCAAAGTCAGGATCTGACCTCCCAGGAGTTGCATCCGAGATTGTGGGAGTGAGAGGGGGGGGGTCTGGATGGGGATGGGGGCGGGGATGGGGGTCCGTGAAACGATGCTGGCTGATTTTTCACCACGGGCGACGCAAAATCTGCACATGCGGGACCGGAGACCCGGGGCGACCAGGGGCACGCCCCTCGTGGAATCCGGCACCAGTTCACGAAGCTGTGCTGGCTTGCGCGCTTCCTGCGAGCAGCGAGCTGAGGAGGGGGAGGGGGAGGAGGAGGAGGAGGAGGAGGAGGAGGAGGAGGAGGAGGAGGAGGAGGAGGAGAGGAGGAGGAGAGGAGGAGGAGGAGGACGAGGAGGAGGAGGAGGAGGAGCAGGAGAAGAAGGAGGAGGAGGGAGAAAACAAGCGTAGAGATGAGCCAATCCTGAACAATCTGCCCGGATCCGCAACCCTCCGCGGAGAGTAGGACTGGCGCGGACACACACGCGAGGTCCCCGAGGCACATGAGGACAAGGATGACAACAAGGAGGACCCCGCACGCACGGGGAGACAAAGGCGGACCGAGGTGAAGGAGGGGGGGTTGAGGGGAGAAAATGAGGAGGGGCCGTTTTGAGAAAACACAAGCATGGATCAACGACGCGTGGACTAGCGGCAGGTCCCGCTTCCGTGCGGAATCGGCGCGCGCCGTCGACAAATCGAGCGGCAGTGGCGCCATCTGTCGGGTGGCACGTTCCCCGATCCGTGGAAACGACGCCCACGCGCCAGATCCACGGATCCCGAATCCATGTAACCGTGCGCCTGGGCGTCGACGATGCATCGGCGACGTCGGCGATGCATCAGCGCCGCCGGCATGGAGGAAATCGGACACCACACCAAGCCGCATCGCCGATGCGTCGGCGATGCCGCGCGATCCCCCGACCGCATCTACTCGGACGCCATCTGGGGTGGCCACTCGACAGGCTGACCTCGGCAACGCCGAACTCTAGCTGAAGAAAAAATCGTGTAAACATCGAACGTTGGCGCTCCGCGCGGACTTCTTGGATCTGGCCTCGAAACCCCCTCCCCGGCGCACGGAGCGCGCCAGGGGCGGCGCCGGAGGCGCCCCGCGGGGGGCCCAGCGCGGATCCAAGAAATCCGCGCGGAGCGCCAACAGTTCATATGTATAATGTTTTTTCTTCTGTGAGCGTCTTCTTATTCGGCATGTCGACATTGGGCGGAAAGGGGGGGAGGGGTCTGGCTCTGGACCTCTGCTGAAATGCGACTGTTTGGAACCGTGCATCCTTTGGGGGAGACCCCACCTGCTCGAAACAGGCGCCAAAAACAGCCAAAATCTACTCCAAGGGGGTGGGAGGGAGGGGGGGTGCGAGGGCCCGCGCCGATCGGCAGAACAACAGCAAGGCTGTGTCCGGCCCAGGCCGAGTGCAGCCTGGCCGAGTTCGGCCTGGCCGAGCCCGGCCTGGCCGACGATTCTCCTGGCCGAGCCCTTCCCTCGTCGAGGAGGGGGCCGTTGCCCCGCGCACTCGGCCGTGGGGAGGAGGAGGAGGGGGAGGAGGAGGAGGCGGAGGAGGAGCAGGAGGAGGAGAAGGAGGAGGAGGAGGAGGAGGAGGAGGAGGAGGAGGAGAAAGAGGAGGAGGAGGAGGAGGAGGAGGAGGAGGAGGGAGAAAACAAGCGTAGAGATCCCCTCGGTCTGCCGAGCTCGCTGCTGGGGCACTTGCCCCATTGAGAACGCGGCAATGTTGCGGCGCCCTCGGGAGGTGCTTCTCTCTCCAAGGGCGCCGACTCTGCAGGGGCTTCCCACCCCTTCTTTACAACCTTAACTACGGTATACTGACGAGGAGGAGGAGGAGGAGGAGGAGGAGGAGGAGGAGGAGGAGGAGGAGGAGGAGGAGGAGAGAAGGAGGAGGAGGAGGAGGAGGAGGAGGAGGGGGAGAAGGAGGAGGAGGAGGATGACGACGACGAGGAGGAAAAGGGCCAGCACGCATCCTGAGAGAAGAAGAGCTGGGGGCTGGCCGACCCGAACTAACCAAAGACCTTGGGTTCTGTGCCTGCCGACGATCGGCGGCGAGCGAGGGGGAGCAGTGAGAAGGAGCGGGCCCTCTCAGGAGGCCTGCCGAAAAGTTGCCCGAATCTTCCCCGGACACACCGCCAACTCCTCAGAAGCCGCCTCCTGAGAAGGCGTTCTCCTTCTCACTTCTCGTGCCCGTGTCTGCCGACGGAGGTGCTGTCCGCGAGGAGGAGCGAGGAGGAGGAGGAGGACAAGGAGGAGGAGGAGGAGGAGGAGGAGGAGGAGGAAGAGGAGGAGGAGCGAGGAGGAGGCGGAGAAGTTCTGTGTCTGCCGACGGAGGTGCTGTCCGCGCATCCCCCTCGCCCCGCCCACCCCCGCACGGGGGGCGGCCTCGGCGGCCTCGGGCGGGGGCTCCTCCCCTTCGGCGTCCTGCCGCGGCGGGGGTGCCGCGGCCGCCAGAGGGGCAGCCACGGCGCTGCCCCTCCTTGCTCTCTCGCCCCCCTCGCGGAGTTTACCCCTCCCTCCTCGCCCTCCTCGCCCTCGCCCTCCTCCTCGTCCTCCTCGTCCAGCTCCTCCTCGCCCCTGCTCGTCTTCGCCCTCGCCCTGGCCCTCCCTGTCCTCCTCGCCCTCGTCCTCCTCGTCCTCATCCCTGCCTCGTCCCCTCCTCGCCCTCGCCCTCCTCGCGGCAGTGACCCGTCGCTCCCCGTCCCCAACCATGCCAAGCACGACCCTGGAATCCCCTGCCCTGGCAGGGCCAATGTGCAAAGAAGCCTAAGGCTTCGGGTGCCGCTCGCATACTAAAGGTTTGAACGCCAGCTCTGCAAAAGACTCCACCCAAAGAGGCATGGGGGGCCGGGTGGATCTGGACGGCACTGGCAGCTTGTGATGCGCCAGGCGGTGGATGTCAAAATATCCAGTTCCTTCGTGGCTCGCCGTCTAGGGGGACCTGAATCAGGACACACGTGGCCGGATGGGCTTAAGAGGAGCGAGACGAACACGAAACAACAGACGGGATGGTCCAGATGGAAAGAGGTGATGGAGTCAAGCTGCGGGGGGTCATTAATGTTGCTGCCAGTGCGCGCAAAAGAGAAAATGCGGGCTCGCGTTCTCCTGGAGCCCGCCGTCTGTGCGCCACGTTCTGCGATGCTACGCCGCTCGTCACCCTGTCGGCGCTTCCACCGAAATGGTCTTCGCGGTCTGTCGTAGGGACTTGGGTACACCCGAACCGTCGGTCTCGGCGTGGCGGTCGGGCTCCTGGCTGCCCGAATCGGGGGCTCCACAACCAGGGGAGGAGGAGGAGGAGGAGGAGGAGGAGGAGGAGGAGGAGGAGGAGGAGGAGGAGGAGGAGGAGGAGGAGGACGAGGGGGAGGAGGAGGAGGAAGAGGAGGAGGAGGAGGAGGGGGAGGAGACTTAGACTTAGACTAGCTCATGGGATCCATCGTCAGTCGGACCTTGCAAAGCAACATCGGCACACGGGAAAGCTTGGATCCTGAGGGGCGAAACCTTTGGGGCGCCAGGTTAAAACCAAATCTGAGCCGTGCACACGCCTAGGGGAGGGCCCAGGGAGGGACCCCCCCAGCCACCGCTGCTGAAAAACACCCCCAAGAGGAGGCGCCCACCCAGCGAGGCCGAAGGGGGTGTCACCCAGGCGCCCCCGAGGGGGGCCCCCTTTGGTGGCCGAAAGCACGGTCGAGCGCCACTGGAACCCTTACCGCGCCCGCTGGGAGCCTTTTTTCGGGGAAGCTCGATCGTGGGGGTCTCAGCGGCGGCAATCGACCGAATACCTGCAATTCCTGATGCCGTTTGCTTCCAGACCAACCGACGATTCTTTTCACAATCAAAAGCGGCAAAGTCTCACGCACTTGGGTGCTCGTCGTTCCGCTTCCTGCAGCCTCGCCATTTATCACTGCTCTCAACTCCACGTGGCTCTGTCCAGGTCCGCGATACTGTTCGATGACATCTCGTTGATCATGCGACTGAGCTCCCTGAAGAGCGGACCTGACGGGGCTGCACCTCCCTTGGACTTCGCTTTCATGTCGACCATCGCTCCGCTCAGCAGGGGCGACACCTTCGGCGCGTGCACGTGACCCAGCTCCACCGCGCAGCAGATCCTGCCCTCGCCCGTGCCTTCCTTCTCTCCGTCCTTCTGCGGCTTGCCCTTGTTCACCTTCCAGCGGAAGTAGCGGGGCGAGGGCCGTGATCTCCTGCGGGTTGCACTTCGTCGCCACATAGTTCCACAGCCCGGCGAAAGCCTTGGACAGCGGCCCGTTTCTCAGTTTGCCCGTGGACACCCACCACTTTACCGACGACGCGAAGATCTGAACGCGCAGTGGACCCCTGCCCTCGTGGTCAGCCGTTTCGCCGTTCCTTGCCTGCTCGAATTTTTCTTTGACTGGGCCACGCGCGCTTTTCCTGCTGCCACCTGCACCTCTGAGAAGCCTCCCTCGTGCAGTCTGAAAGTCTTTACGATGGCAACCAGGTCCTGTTGCCCGCGGGAACCCGCCAATGCGAGGCGGCCCATCGTCTTCGCCGTCATGCGTAGTCCTTTGCCGCCAGCGCCCTTCTCCTTCTTGGTCTGCTTCTGCGCCGGCGGCGCGTCGGCGCCCCTATCGGCGCGGCCGCCCAGCTCGGGGCCCCCTCAGCGGACATCTCGAGTTCACCCAGTCGCAGGGCGGCGGGGGCGGGCGGCTCGCGGCAGGTGCTGAACTAGATGGCCGCAGAGGTCGTCGAGGCCTGCCTGTTCGACGCCACAGATCTTGCACTCCAGGGGCCCTGGCGGGATCAGGCCACGCGACTTGCCTGCCCCCTCGGGAAGGCAATGACCTCGGACCAGCGAGCGGGAAAGACGGCGACCCGCAACCACTTTCGAACCCAGGGCCGCGCAACATACCACGCACATGTTTGCGGGGCTCAGAACACGACCAGCGTTGTGAACGTGATGCCCCGCCCGATGATGGTTTAGGAGGCCCCGCTTTGTCGTGAAATTCGCATCGCCTTTCTGGCCCTCCACCTCCCACTCGCACTTCCATTGTCGGGGAACCTTAGGGACAGGGGGGTCGAGAACTTCGGGGGGTCACCGGACATCAGAGGGGACAGCTACGCGAACCTGGGTCGGCCAAATCACCGAGAAGTCTACGTTGACAAAATCAGGGGCCACCTCGGGGTCCGCAAACCTGCAGGGGCCCTCGGAGAGCTCCTCCATGACCAGTGCCTCAGCGCCTGCAAGCACCCGCGCCTTTTGGAAGTCCCTCTTCATCCTGCAGGCCCACGAAGAAGCATGTTCTGTCAGTGCGCACGCCAGCGCAAGTCGGAATCGGTCGACTTCGGCGCTCGGCAAACGGCCACGCAGCGCGCGCAGCGACTGTCGATTGTGACCGGGCGCGCGGGCAATCTGCCGATGGCGGCTTAGCCGCCGCACAAGTAATTCCTTTTCACTCGGCACAAGCGCCCGGTAGACCAGCACCTTCGCACTGGGCCACGTCCATTCATGATCTCCCCCCTGCGAAGGCCCGCAACCCTGGGGCGGAACGCGGCAAAGGCGCGCGAGGTGAGAAGCGAGCTCCCGGCAAAGCTGAGAAGAAGTCATCATCGCCTCAAGACCACTGAACAATGCGTTCCGGGCTCGCCCAGTTGGAATCACTCTCGTCAACTTCGACGGGCAGTTGAAAGACAAGTGACCTCCCATGGAATAGAAGCCCGCATGCGCCGCTCGCGCTCTTACGTTTCAGGGCCCCAGGGTCCGCGGCCCAAGAAAGCGAGATGCGCGGCCCCAAGTGCCGAATGCACTCCTGAACTTCCCCACCTAGAACCCTTGCGGCACGTCGTCGAAGCTTGCGTTTCACCCTCCGACTGCCCGCGCCCGAGACGTTGAAGAATGACCTGTTTGCCCAGGTTGGCCCCGGGACCGACCCCATCCAGCTCCTCCTCGAACAACGCATCCAAATCTTTCATCCACGGCAAAAACTCCGCGATCCTCTGAACCCGAGACGCTGTGCTATCAGGGAACGGGCCGTTTTGTGACCCCGCAATATTTCCCGGGAAAGATTGGCCCGCTAAAAGTCCCTCGGAAAATTGTGACCGCGGACGGGTCGCCCATGAGACCTCCTTCCCCCGGGCGAAGCCAGAGTGGGCCCCTCTCGGCAGTGGGCACACAGCTCCGAGACTCCTGATTGCGTTGTAGGGCTAGAGGAACATCTAAACAATTCTCCACATGTAGTTCGACTGTCGCATCGAGCTCAGAGAACTCCCCCGACGCAAAGGCACTGCCCATGCCTTCAAGCTCGCAGAAAAGGGTGTGGTACGAGTGCCGAAGTCGCCAAGCCACGAGCTGTGCCGTCGTTATGGCTCCTTCTCGTCTGCGATGCTTGATTAACCCAGAATCGCTCACGTTAGGCGGCATCGACATAGGAATGATAATACTACATGGGATAAAAAGCTTGCCAATCGGGTCAAGTATGCGAACATCTCTTTTCCTCTTGACTCCTGGAGCTTCACATTTACTAAGTCCGAGAACTGCGGTGCCAATGGCGCAAGGTGCGAGTCGCTCTTCGGACCGTAAGATACCTCCCCATCATAGCCTCCGCGAAGGTCGACATGTCAGGGACCCCCGCTCCAACGCCAACTTCCCACCGCCCTCGAACAAGCCGCTTATCAGGGAAGAAAACAGAAACGCCACAACTCGACTACTAAGCAGCGCCTCTGTGCAGACCTGCGACGTCCAGCCTTCTGCACCGCCCGCGATGCACGTTTGATGTCCTTCCTGGCTCGCTCCTCCATCTCGTGGGTCAATTCGGGAAGTGGTTCTTCAGACAACTCCATCCTCGGCGCCTCCACTTCCTGCGCAGACATCGCACCATGCTCGCCACGCTGCTGCCAGGCCTCCAAACATTCAGTTCGGGTAGGTTGTGCTGCTCTGTCTGCGCTGCCGTCTCGCTTCCTGGGCCCGAATCTGCAGCGGCCGGCTTGCCTTGAGAGCCGCGCCGCCATCGCCGGCTTACGGGACTTTCACGCCTCTCATATCTCCTCTTCAATCTAGACGCTCGCGCCGTCGCTGTTGGAATAATTCCCTGGACACCGCCGATCTCCACCTGATGCTCCTCCGATACTGCGCGGTCGCCACGTCGTAGTCCAGCTCGGAGTTCAACACGCTGGCGGACTAACTCACGTCGCCTCTCAGCATCGCCTCGATACTCTTCCTGGTGGCCAGGGCGAAAAAAGGGTCGGACCTGCCTCCACCAGGACACGATTCATGTAATCGAAAAAGCCGTCGGGATCGCCTCTGCGAAGTAATTCCGCCCAGTCGGGGCCCTCACGACTCAGTCGGTCTTCGTCAACTCGTAAGACATCACGCTTCAGGCCATTTTCCCGGCGTGAGAAATCCATGTTCTTGTCGCAATCCCAAGCCACTTCGGCTCTGTGTATACTTGAAA